GGAATAAAGAGAGAATCACCGTATCATCTACAAATTAGATAAAAAAAAAAATGGACGACAGTGGAAATTCACAAATGCGCAACATCCAACTCCGTTATCTAGACAAAGGATAGCACGATTGTAGAATATCACATTGGACCTACACATTGTGATAACGATACCAGTATCTATAAAAAATTTAAAAAATATTGTGTGAGGAGGGGAGCAGACAAAAGCAAAAATGAGAAATTGTTGCACATTAAAAAAAAAATTAAAACTAGGATGAAAAAATAATGCAAACAACAAAAAAACCAAGAGTGGGCGCCAGTGACCAGAAGTAGCGTCTCGCGTCTCAACACATGGGATGCCGCTAATTGCTCTAAATTTATTCGCAGCATTAAAAAGAAACAACAATACGAAATTAGGGAGTTTTCAAGTGCCGCCAGAAGCTCTCTCCTGCTGATCATCCCATATCAACACGGACTTCCCTCCGACTCTCACTAACATTCTATTTACTAACTTTCAGGTTGTTTTGCTTTCAACTAGTTCTTGTATCTCTGCCAAAAGTCATCCCTTTAGCTTGTATCATGAAAGAATAATTGGTGATCATTGACTGTATGCCTTTTTAGCAGAGGCCAGTTAAATTTCGTCTTTTCAAAATTCCAAGGTTGGAGAGAGATATCTCAAAAAGGATTATATGATGAACCTTTTGTAGAATTGAATTGAGAAGGGTGGAGGATCTTATTCATTAATTGGTACTGTGTATCAAAGACCTCTAAGGATGTGAGTCTAGAGATTGATAACTTGGATCTGAAAATTGTTATCAGTTTATCTAATGGTCATCGTGGGCTTTGTGGTGCCAGGTTATGGTGTGTATGAGATTCACATTAACGGATGGGATTCCTAGTTATACCAAAAATTCATGAGGTAACCAAACACTAAAGACGAAGGGGCTCGGCAGTCAAAAACCGAAAACTGCCTATGACAACTAACAGAAGATTTAAGCTCCAACGGCTAATGACTACTAACTCAAGAATTAACGCAAGCACAGTTAACAAGTTAGCAAGCTAAAACAACAACGTAGATAATCTCAAGAAATTAAGAAAAAAAATTATTACAAAACCATACTTTCTATCAAAATGCATAGATCATTTGCACAAGCAGAAAAAGAAGCTCAAAAGTTTTATCCCATAATTAGTGAAACTAAAATGAATGGGGAAAAAAAGGCCACAAAATAATGCGTTTAAATAAATAAAAATCACAGTAAACTACGCCACAGTAAAATATTCCTGTGAGCGAGAGCAATCAAGTTTCTTGCTAATTTTGAAACAACTTACAGGATGGCCGAACTTGCAATAATGAATAATGGCCTCCTCTCTCTTTAACAGCTTCCACAAAATCAAGTATATTGAAAAAAGGGCAAGTTCTGGAAGGGCACTCAGAGTGTTGGATAGAAACACACTGATATTTTCTTCTTGTTTTTTGCAATCATAGGTCTCTATAGGCCGGCTAACACAAACTTGATCTAATTCCATTCGTTTAAACAACTACCAAACTCTACAATATTGGTGTCAAGAAACTTGGGACAGCTCAATTTCAAAACAGATGATTATTATCGTTTGAACCCAAAATCTCAAAAGGCATCTAGATAAGATATAAAATTAGCCTCTTTGATCAACCTTTGGTGGTTATTGGTAATGTGCCAAGATATTTCAAATGATAATTGATTGATAGGTACATTTCTTACCATTTATAACTTCGAGCATATACTTCTCAAGCACAGGTTTGATGGCTAAATACAGGTCATGCATGCCAAGTCCAGTTTCAGCTGATATGGGAACAGGATCTCCAAAGCCTAGCCTTTCAGCTTCAAAGCCAGCAGCCAAAAGTGTGCCACTGCAGTCGATAAGCGATTCAGATTTATTCATGGCTACTAAAATGTTAATATCAGGTACATGTCTGCGCAGCCACTTCCCAACCTCCAAATCAAAGGGATGAAGACCAGCTCTGCTCATAAAAATAGCATCATGACTACTTTAAACTTCAGAGCCACAGTACAGCAAAAGAAAATTGTCAATATGTATACTGAGTAAGACAGCAAGCATTTCTCTGTCTTACAATGGAAAGCAATATGCTACATTCATCTCAACCAAGTTCATGAAAAACATTCACCAATCACCTTGCGTCAATGAGGAAAATTGCTAACTGACACTTGAGAAGCACCTTTTCAGTCATTTTTGCTGTTCTTTCAAGAATAGAGCCAGAAGATACTGCTGTCTCCAAGCCAGACGAGTCCAATACTACAAAGCGCAAATCTCCAAGTTTGGCAACCCCTTCACGAATATCCCGAGTAACGTGATCATCAGGTGTGTTGTAAACTAGTGCCTCCCTCCTCCTAATAAACCTATGGATTAACAACATTCACGATACGAGTAAGATAATGCAAAAAATGAATCACTGATTTCACATTGCAAAACACTGAGAAGTCCAATAACAGAGTCACTAAGGCATGCAGAGATTACCGATTAAATAATGCAGACTTGCCAACATTGGGGCGCCCAACGAGCACAACAGTTGGAAGCATATTAATGGGAATTTTGGTGAAATCAAGTGAATTTTTGTGGACGGCTTGAACTATATTAGCAACAACATCACCATCCCTTGCCTTATCATTTAAAAATTTCTCAGAGTGCCCATTTTCTGATACTCCACAAAATCCCCTGGCGATATGAACAGCAGCCAAAGGAAGCAATAATCTTGTACTTGAGAAGCCACTATTCCAACCTAGATAGAATCATAGAACCCAAAAACAATGACCAACGACTTAATCCGTACATACAAAAGCTGAAAACAGATATGAATTGTCGTGGATAACCATGTACAATCCTCCAAAGTTCTCGTATGTGTGAAGTTCTTCAATCCATCATCATAAGAACTAAACCTAGACAACAAATCAACAGTTAAGTGGTAGAAGGACGAAGGTACCTGATTTGACGAATGAATGGTTGCATTTCTCACTGAGGGGCTTCGGAAGTGTAGAAAAATTTGAAGGCGTGTGCCCCCCGTTGCATAAAACCGAGCCACTGAGAAAATTAGGCAACAGACAACTAAAGCTTGTTGTTCTACTTCTTCCTACGATACCGGAAACGCCATTACCGATGACCCGCCGGCGTTGAGAGAGCAACGGAAACCATAAGCGAGACATAGATACGTCGCGGCGGCAATCACAGTCGCAGCAACCTGTGAAAATATTCTTAGAACAAGAACAACAAAGAAGTATAAGGGTAAAATGGACATTTGAAGTTTAATATAATTACACTCTTAATTTATATGTTAGGTTGGTTTAATTATAAAGGAAATCATTTTCTATTTAAAAATAATTTTTTTAAATAAAATTTTTAGTTTTTTTACAATATGAAATAGAAGAGGAAAACAAAAAAAAAAATTAAAACTAAAATTAAAATTATTAACGTTCGATCCCATTTACGAGAGGATGGAGAAGACGAGGAAGAACAATTTAGATTTTAGGGTTTAAGCGAAAAAAAAATTTGAAAATTCCCAGATCACGATTATCGGTGATTTTCGAGAAAATTTCATTTGATTTAAGTTTTTCGTTTTATTGTTCTTATTTTTGTACCAAGCGAGTTTGAAGAAGGTGATCCCAGTGTCGTGATGAGCATTATATAAAACGACAATGGACTCGTTATCGAGCTCTTATGTTGATGAACTAACAAGCGATACCAATGACATAAACGAAGAATCGTAAAGTGGTGTGAAGGTAAAACTAGGGTAGGTTTATAGTTTCGAACGTAGTTCTCAGCGTTTGAGCAAGGATTTCTCTCACATGCACTCGCAACTTGTTCAGGTACAAAGGGTTTAAGTAGGATATGATATGTTTGTGTCTACAACCAACTCTTTCGACACTAAAATAATCTCTCAATTTGTGTTAGATTTTGCCGGTGAGTATTAAGCTTTCTCTCTTTTATAGATTTACGGGGTTTATTCTTCTTCCTCTAGGGTTCGAGACTAACTCTCTCGTTTCTCCTCGAAATTACACATTTTATAGATCTTTAGGATGAAGTTGTTGTCAAAAACGTTACGGAAGACGCCATCGACTCTTGTAGTCAAATGAAGGAGGTAGGCAGGAAAACATCTCGAGCAATTGACGACGAATTCCTTGGAGTTTTACGTTCCATAAGGTCCTATGTTACGTTTTCACCAAATCCCCAATAAGACTTTACAAATCAAAGCGGTTTGTTATCAAAGAGATTCTCCCAGTTCCTTGTTTTTTTTGAAGATTGAATCCACGATCATCGTGCAAGACCTAGTAAACGAATCATTGGTCCTTCTCAAGGCTCTATTGGAGTTGTTAGATATCAAACATTTTTTTAATTGATTTTGAACGTAAATATTTGTTATTATCTTACAACACCACAAAATTATTTTAACAATTTTGTTTAATAAAAATAAATTAGTTAAGAATAATTAATTATCTAATACAAAATTAATTAATGTAATAAAATTGCTAAAAATAATTATATATTTTTTATTTGGCATAAATTCAATAAATTACTATTATTAATTATTTTATTATAATAAACTAATAATAATTTTTTAAATATATATTTAATTTATTTTGACCAAATAAATGAATTACTTATTTAATAATTTTATTTTAATCCCATTTAATTATCTAAAATTAAATAAGGTAATCAAAACCATGAGAGCTCAATATCATATTATCGTGGATAGTCGAGTTCATCTAACAATTTCCACACATTTATAAGAAATGTTTTTTTTTTAAAGAAATATGTTTATTTTTTATTAGGATATTAATTTTTTAAAATAAAAAGTACATTAAATTAATTCGAACGAAATTAAATGAAAACGAAGAATTTGACATAATGGGAAAGGGGCCGTCGCAATCAAAGTGAAAAGAAACTAATATTTAAATAAAATGGAACTAAAAAAAAAAAGAATATTTAAAATAATTATTTAAAATAATTTAATGTGGTGCGTAGTAAATTGAAAATAAACTGACATTTTCTCTCCCGTTCTTTCTCCCCTTGTTTTTCTGTCTTCAACTCATTGTTACTTACAAAAACCCAACAAACCCTAAAACTGTCCCTTCAATTTTTCTTCTTCATTTCTTCGATTACTAGTTTTATACCTCAATTTCAGCTCTTCCTTCCAAGAAATTTGCAGTTTCAGTATTGAAATTCCTACTGAAATCCCTAATCTTCTCAGTGGGCGGCTCATTTTGGAGAGGAAAATGGAGGGAATGCCGCTCCCAATACCCCGTACAGTGGAGGAGGTCTATGGCGACTTCAAAGGCAGGCGTGCTGGCTTGATTAAAGCCCTAACCACTGGTCTCTTCATCTTTTTTCTTCTTCCTTCCTTCTTCTGCTCATTTTTTATATGTGGAGTCGTTTTTACTATCTTGGTGTTGTTCGTCCTAGATGTAGGTTGACTGTGTAGTTGTTTCTGTACGAATTCTTGCACTTTAATCTTTCTCTTTGTTTTTTTTTTTTTTTTTTTGTGTGTTTTTGCAGATGTTGAGAAGTTTTACCAGCAGTGCGATCCTGGTGGGTTTTCTCTTTCCTCTATTGGTCTCGCTATACCTATTGTTTGTCTGAAATATTTGAACTTATTTCGTTTTTAGAAATTTATTGGTCGCTGTTTTTTAGTTCTTCCGTATGTTTGGGGTCTTGAATTCTGTTNGTTTCCATGGGTCTGAATTTTTTTTTTTTTTTTTTTTTTTTTTTTTTTTTTTTTTTTTCTGTTCACTTTGATGAAGAATCATAGGCGTGTCTCCATGAAACAAGTATTTCTGCTGAATTGAGTTTATATGTTTTTTATTTGTTGTTCGTTCGCTCGTTCTCCACATCGAACTCGATAATGTTTTTTTCCCTTTTTTGTCGCAAATCTATTCGGTTTGAGATTCACCTGTGCGTAGGATTTTCCCAATGATTGTTTTCACTTTACTTGAAAGTCTAAATTCAGTTTATCGAAGTATTTGGCGGCCTGGGGCTGTGCTAGAACTGGAGATATTTGTGCGTTTTTTTAACCCCTAGGGTAGATCTGGACATAACATTGTAAGTGGTTTGAGTCACTGGCTAAATTTGATACCCTAGTGGATATTCACTATCAAGCTGATGGGGTGGTGCGGTGCCGACACTTGGTCACAAATTTTGAATCTCATAAATAGGAGGTTGGAGAGGGAAAAATACTGCATATATGTCTATCTACTCAACTGGTTGTTTTTGATATTGTTATTACTTTAAGACTGTCTGTTTTTAACTTTTAATTATGTTCCCTTGGTTTCTGCGCTGTTATAAGCAACATTCTGGATGATGCCATTCACAATTTTAAAACCACGATTCCAGTGACTGAATTGGACCGAGTGCGCATTGGTTATTGTTCTATTGGAATGCTCTCTCTCTCTCTATCTTCCCGTTTCTTCACTTTCATGGATATTTCTTCTTCTTTTTTATTTTTATTTTTATATACTATAGTAAAGGAAACAAGCAGAAGAGAGCCCATCTGTGTGTTTACAAAACACCGTTCCAATGAGTAATAAATGAGATTAGGTCATTATTACGATAAGGGAGGTCAATTTACACCAAGAATAGATTAACAGTAGAAGTGGAAGTCTTAAAAACTGTGAAAATGTGAAAGTTACACTTCAGCCAAGGAGCCCATCCGAATCAAGTTGAGTCATGGGTTTCTTTTCTCCCTTCTTGAAAGGATGACCAAAGAGCATAGTAGAGAGAAGGGTCACCATGTCATTATGGAGAGCTGAAATCCAGCCAAAGGATTACAAAATGAAGTCCCGGAAAGATCTTGCAGCTCATGAGTTGAACAAGTGAAAATGAGGTTCTGAGGTTCTGGGGTGCCCTTGCACATAATACAACAATTCGGAGATAAGTTGATCCATGGAGATCTTCTCTGTAACCTATCATGGGTGTTTAAGCATGAATGACCCAATTCCTAAAGAACTAGACTTTTTTAGGAAACCTTCCATCCATAAGGCTTGATAAAATTTTTCTTGCACGACGATTCCAGCCGTTGCAAAATCTCTAGAGGAGGATTTGGTTGTGCAAAAAAAGCCTTTTTTTTTTTCCTGGATTCCAAGCAGCCAAGCCTCTAATAATTTTCAGCCAGTGAGCCTTAAGTGAATGAGGATATTGGAGAGCCTTGCCCATTCACCTATTTCAATTTTGTGAGACTTCTTATTGGTCAAAGGTTCCAACAGTGGAGTCTTATTTTTGAGCAAGATGGCAAATAAGGAGGGAAGATCATCTTTGAGGGTCGATTGCTCCAACCAAACATCAAACAATATCCAGCCCCTCTCCCAAATTTATGAGAGACGTGGTTGAAAACAACTTCTTTAAGCTTGTCAATTTATTCCATTGGCCCTTAACAGATGATAATGTTATATGACCCAGTTTCAGATCAAGGAGAGATGCCACACTTGGATGAGATAACTTTCCTCCATAGAGCTGACTTTTCAGATTAGTAATGCCAAATCCTCTTGGTCAAGAGGGATTTAATCTTTTGTCTAAGGACAATCCCTAATCCACCTTCTTCTATTGAAAGCTTCACTTTGCCCCATCCTAGGAGGTGATGACCGTGCTTATCTTTGCTTCTCTTCCAAAGAAAATTACATTACTTTATTCACTCGAAGTTGATACCTTGGAAGAGATGGGGAAAAGGGACAAGTAATTTATGGGGGGGTTCGAATTGGATAAGTGTATAATGGCCTTCCTTTGATGGGAATTACCACAATAAATCAACATTTTTTCCACCTTTTCAACAATGGGATCCCCAAAGGTTGTTGTGTTGGGATTACAATTGAGGGGAAAACCCAAATATGAAGCCGGTCAATCATCTACTTTACACCCAAAATTTGCAGCGAGGGAAGAGACCGCCTATGGCTCCATGTCGATACTCAAAATTCTGACTTAAGACAATTGATATTAAGGCTCAAGGCTTCCATAAATAGATTGAGGGGGACAAATAATTTGTAAAGATGGCTATCATTCGAGTAGAAAAACAAGATAGTGTTGTTCGGGAATTGAAGATGTGTTATTGATAAAGAATGGGGTCTTCTCCCACTGAAAAACCTTTACCCAGATCCTCATGTTCAGCCTTCAAAAGCATCCTACTTAACCAATCCATAATAAGAATGATGATGAAAGGTGTGAGGGGATTCTCTTGTGGAGGACTCAGAGCCCTTTTGTAGTTTTAATCTTTCCCACGGGTGGTATACGACCAGGGTTCATTGTTTTCTAGTATGCAGAGGGGAGCCCCTCTTCCCCTCACTCTCCTTTCCCTATTTAACGCTACTTCTGGGGTGGTAGAAAAGATTCTTGTACTTCAGTCTTTCCTGTTGACCTACAGTGAATACATTTTTTAATGATTTTTATCATTATATTTTTAGTTTTGTTAAATCTGGAGAAGTATTTCCACGCATAGGTATTTATGTTACCGTGAATTTTTCTTTACTGGAAAGATCATACTAAAAACCATAATTCAGATGTTTCTAAGGCGTTTAGATTCTTATATGTAGTCTATCTATTAATTAACACTAGGTTGTGGATATCCCACTGTAAAAGTGTAATAAATAGATTTGGTATTTGAATGAATGTGATGTGAGAACTCTCTTTTATTGTATTTGGATGAAAACTAAGTAAATCTTTTTTAAAACATTGCTCACGTTTAAATTCTTTCTGACCATTTAAGCCAACCCGCCTGCTTTGTGTAAATTATTAATTCTCTCTCTGCTTTGCGAACAAAATTCAATGATATTGATTTGTGTATCTAGAGAATTGGAGGTATTCATTTAAGGTGATGTCTTTCCACCTTAACCTGGAGTGTGGTGGGGGGCAATCCATCGCTTAGATTCTACCTTCTTTCTTTGTCTTACTGAATACAAAATTGTTTATCTCGATATGAAGAATCGATCATATATGGGGGGATGGTCGGTTTACTTCTTAATTCTTAGTCACTTACGTTAGACTTGCAAATAATTCTTCAAGTAATTTCTTCGTGTGTTGCTAATATTTATCTCCTGAGATAATGAGTTCTTTCCATGAGGGGGAAAACTGCATCGACCTTAACTTGATTTGTAATGTAAAGCTGTATTGTTTATGACAGCTATTATTATGATGATAACGTTTTCCAATCAAGATTTTAAAACTTTAAATCCTGGTATAATCAACTTCTAGATTTTCTCTCCGATTCTCCTACTGAATGAATGAGATGATTTCACTCTATATGATTTGGACGGGCAGTTGTAAATGGTCTTTCAATATTTGTTTGACACCCTCAGCTCTAAATATGGACGTGGTCTTTGAGTCCTTGATTGGCATCTTGAGGAGGAACTGAACTAGGAACCTTGATGGTTGGCCATGTTGTCTCGATTACATTTATAGAGACTGAACTAGTTGTAATGTATATCATAATACCCTTTTTTATTTTATTCTATTGTTATTGGTACTTTCTAGCTGATAGTGTCTGCTAAACTAATACAATGTTCTTGAGTTGAATTTGACATGTAATGAGGGTTAGTTAAAGATAGTATTTCTTACGGTTTTCTGAGACAATTCTTGTCATACTTATAGAGAAGGAGAACCTATGTCTCTATGGACTTCCTAATGAAACGTGGGAAGTTAACTTGCCTGTGGAGGAGGTGCCTCCTGAGCTCCCGGAACCAGCTTTAGGTATAAATTTTGCAAGGGATGGGATGCAGGAGAAAGACTGGTTATCACTGGTTGCTGTTCACAGTGACTCATGGTTGCTTGCTGTTGCATTCTATTTTGGTGCTCGTTTTGGGTTTGGGAAGAATGAAAGGTATGTAACTGTACTTTATGACTATAATAAATTCCTTATAAGACATTTTCAGCTTTAATACTACCGTTTCTTAAATTTTTTATGATTCGGTCCTATGCATCATCATCGCTGTATAATTGGGAAATAAATGTATTAAGAACTGCTTCACCATATGCCTCTTCCTCTTTTCCATATAGTGATAATAATTTGACACATAATTGTGAATGGAGCCAGGGAATGCGGTTTACTAGTTGTTCTAGCATGTTCTGTTTGAAAATATTTAGAAAAAAACAATGTAATTGAGGCGCTTGAATGACACTGTCTATGCACGAGGCTTGAATAATTTTGTGTGCTAAGTTACTCTTCCTTTATTTATTTTTTTACTTTAGGATGTATCTTCGTGTCCTGGGGGAATTTTTTAACATCGAGTTGACTTTAGTCCTCTTGTCTCATCTTTCATTATTATTTTCTTCAGAAAAACTTATATCTACTTGCCATGATGTCATTTTAATGAATTATTTGGCGTGTTGTTTTTCATGTGCATTCAAATGCTTTAATCTCTGGTTTGTTTCATGTCATCAATGACATCTTCCATGGAACACCTTGTAGTCTCTGCTTTCCCATTTCATTTTGTCACTTACTATAACTCGCAAATCCATACGTGAATTACACGTGACAAACTATTATTTATAAGGGTGTTCTAGTGCGTTGTAGATTCTTATATAAGACTTGTATCTCCTACGAAAATAGCTTAAACTAAACTCAATTCTAGCTTGAGAATTGTAGAATGTATCTTTTCAAAAATGTATTTCTTTTTTGTTTTCTCATAAAAAAATATGTAAACACTTTAACATACTGTCTTTGTCATGCTCGTATCATATATTTTTCAGAAGTAACTTGTCAGGCCCATGTTTCTTTGGGAAAAGACATAGTTTTATTTCACTTTCTTTATTTGGCTAATTTTTATTAACTCTCTTCAATAGATTCTTATTAAGTCAAATCTAAGCTATACTTTGGTGAGAATGCACTTCCTTTTTTCGTCTTTCCTTTATTTATTTCTACGAAGATCTGAATGGTGCTACAAGGAAATGGGATTACACGATAAGGTCTGGCTTCCTTTTGTACTGTGCATCACTCATTTTAGACTACGATTGTTGACAAAGAGGAGAACTTTTGTAATTTCTTAAGGAACCTGTAGGGGTGAACCTTTTTATGGAGTCATACAGTCAAAAGGATTTTTACCTCTTGTTCAGGCTAATATTTGAGGTGAGCAGCTGAGTGAAAGAAAGCCCTATGGATAATTTGACCTGTCTTTTGCCTTCTTTGCTTGAACCTGTTAGTTGGTTCTCAAATTAATGTAGCTTTTGTTCTTGAATTTATTTTTGCATGCCTTACTCCTTGTGAACTTGTAGGCACATTAATCTCCATGTTTTACGGATATCAGGAAATTAGCAGGATTCTTGTGGTGTTTTTAAGCATGTTATGATTTTAATCTTACTTTTGCGTTTTGCCATGTCTTGTTCATTTGAATTACACCTTGATCTACTAAAGTCATGCTTATGTGGCATATTAAGCCATTTTATTTTAGTTGCATTTGTGTATTTTTCAGCACATGACGATATTTAAATATGGTAAATATCCAGCAATTCCTCCATCGTTAAAGGAGGAAAATATAGTCATCAATTCTTAAGATGACTTCATTTATGCCAATAATATATTTTGGCCATGGTCTGAGACAAACATGACTCAGTTTGAGATTGGACATTTCAGGAAGAGGCTATTCCAGTTGATCAACGATCTCCCAAGTGTATTTGAAGTTGTGAGTGGAAATGGTAAGCAGTCAAAAGAACAGTCTGCCACTCATAACAATGGCAGCAAAAGCAAGTCGAGTGGGAAGACGGTAAGTAATTTCCAAAGTTCATGATCAATTCAGCAATGTTCTTCATTGTTTTGCCGCAACCTCATACCGTACATGAATCCTGCTATTCTTTGCCGTCTTACAGCAGTCTCGGCAATTGGAGTCTCATAGCAAGGGAGTGAAGATGTCTCCACCACCAAAAGAAGACGAAGATAGCGGGGAAGATGAGGAGGAAGAAGAAGACGATGAACAGGGTGCAACATGTGGGGCTTGTGGGGACAACTACGGCAACGACGAATTCTGGATTTGTTGCGATGTGTGCGAAAGATGGTTCCATGGAAAATGCGTGAAGATTACTCCCGCAAAGGCGGAGCATATCAAGCAGTACAAGTGTCCAAGTTGCAGTAACAAGAGGGCAAGGGTTTGAATTTAGGATCTTAAAGTTGGAGATAATTGCAAGGAACGAAAAAAGAAGACGAAGAAGAAGAAAGCAAGCAGGCAGCACGACTCCAGAACTTGTTATTACGATTATAAAGCTAAGTATGGTTGTTAAAATCAGTTGACAAAATTTGGTGAATTGGGATGAAATTTCAAGTTTTCCTACTCGTGTTATTCTTCTGTCCAATTCTAGAATTAGCGGTTTCTGTATGAATCCCCCCCCCCCCCCCCCCCCC